GCGTCCCGGATTGTTGGTTGTTCTGTTTAAATTCGCAGATTAATTATTGTTGGAAATTCGGGGCGTGACATTCATCAACTCCATGAATTTGTTCCTTTACAAGACACAAACCAGTGCACCTTCATGGTTAATCAACTTCATGGGAACTTAACTTTGACAACAAAATTAAGAGCCAATAATCAACTTGTCAATTTGTCAATCAGAGTAGCTACAAGATAGATCAAAATAAATCATCAGATTAATTTAGAAAAATCCATAAACAGAGTGCCTGAAATTAACTAACTCCAAAAACATGAACAACTGAACAATTAATTAATTAGGTGTTTAACATCAACATCTACACGGAGTTTGTGAAGGGAAACTTTCGCATTCCCCTCCCTAACATGTGCCGTTATAATGCGGGGGGAAAAGGCTGCAGAGTTTTCGCGTAGTTCTGACAGGTTGTTGGCTCCAAAGATCTCTACTAAAACTGCCTTGCAGCGGCACCATAAACGTAAGCTCACCAAACAGCTTCACCCCCAATCTCGCCGCCCCATAACAACCGCCGCTGCCGCTTCCCATTAGTAATTCATTTGCCATGTCCTCGCCCACATATGACCTCACCATTGCCAGGCTGAAGTTGATGGTGGTCTGGCTCATCTTGTTTAAAGGTGGAAGAGGCAATGGCGTCATTGCGAGAATGAGTTTGTCCTTCTTCTCCTTGTCCCCGTACAAGAGTCCCGCCCGGAAATTGTTGTAAGAGACGCCCAGTATGTGGTTGGGGTTAATAAACACCAGGCTCAGGTCCCATGTGGCGGTTAAGTACCAGTTGCTGTTGTTGGAGGAGCCACCAGCAGAAGCAGCAACAACAAGACTCGGGGTGAGTGGGCACGGGGACACAACTACCGAGTCAAGCCGGAACTCGGGGAACCTGACGTCTAGCCATCGGTCCTGCAACACCATAAAGTACCATTGTATACACATACACGCCAAAATGCCCACCATTAAGAGGATGGGCCAGATGTTGCGAAGTCTACAACATTCGGGGAACTCGTCTATCTTTTTGGAGAGGAGGCGCTTAGCAGCTTCTGCCATTTGATTATTAATATCACTAGGAAGAAATATTTGAGAGATTTGAGAGTGTATTTTTTCCCATCTCATTAACTCCTATTTATAGAGAATCTATATCTCTAATCTCCTAGTCGTACATGGAATAGGAATCTTGTAAAGATTATCTAAGGTTTTTTATTGGGGTCAAAACAATAATGGTTTCTTTACTTTCTATTTTTCATACCACAGGGATCTAAGGTTTTTTATTGGGGTCAAAACAATAATGGTTTCTTTACTTTCTATTTTTTTTTCATACCACAGGTTTCCGATTCCGAAGGTGGCATAGAGAAGGGGGATTTGCAGGCTAGGTACAATGTGACAGGGAGTCGCCATTTTAATAATCTGCAATTTCTCCCCTTGTATTTTTAATCCTTTTTTGAAGCAAGATTTTTTCAACCATGGTTTTTATTTATTTATTTATTTAATTTGTATAATAATTATTTTTTAAAATTTAAAGCAGTTGGTGGTGACAGTAGAGAAGGGAATGGTGACCCTTGAAATATGAAATTTAATGTTGAAATTGAAAACCTTTCCAAATTAATACCTACATCAGTTACAACCAGATTTCATGGAGAGAAATGTACATAATCTTTCTAAATTCAACGTAATTAGAGGTGTTTTTGGAATCCAAAAAGTGCAATAAATCAAAATTTGAGCTTAGGTAAGTTGATGAGTTGTATTCTAGTTATGGGTTTTTAACTAAAACTGCGACAAATTCAAATTCATGAAATAGGATGAAACATACTAAGACCTCTCTCATCCGTCACTGTTAATGCTTGGACTTTCATCTCTTCTATGCTTCATAAGCCGGGCTTGACCAGGAACAATTCATTTTGATTTGCAACGAGTAATAAACAAGAGTTCATCAACTCCATGAATTTGCTCCTTTACAAGACACAAACCAGTACACACCTTCATGTAACATAGTTTACTGTCTTAAACTCACATAAAGTGGTCTTCTAATCATTATCGGATTGCAAGACCTCCAGATTAATCAAGGACTTAAAACAGTCTCATCCAGCAGACTTTGTATCAGTGTTTTATTTGGGTTACAAGGCTAAAGGTGTTTCTAGTTATGTTAGATTGGGATTCGCAGTTCTATTGCTAAAGGCTAAACGGGTTGCAATATTGATAAAATTTTATTATTTTATAGATAAAATTAATAGGTATATGGTACGTTATTCGCAAAAACATCCTAGGTAAATAATAGGTATATTCTTTTATACAAATTAAAGGCCAATAATCAACTCCATGGGAACTTAACTTTGACAACAAATTAAAGGCCAATAATCAACTTGTCAATAAATCATCAAGATCAAAATAAATATCAGATTAATTTAGAAAAATCCAGAGTGCCTCAAATTAACTAACTCGAAAAACATATATATTTTTTTTTTCCAATCATCAGTATAACATTGTTAGCAATGACACATATGTAGGAGAAATGGAATCATAAGTACTTCAAAATAAGACTTAATAAGCAAAATTAGAAAAGAATGGTATTATACTTGTGTGGTCTCAAGTCTCAAACTATTCCCAAACGTCTTGCAAGTCTAAAACTTAAGTAGTAAGTACACTTAGCATATATGATTGTCGACAACCATATCCAAAAACTAGCAAAAATTACTGCATCCTCCGACATAATGACAATGTCCCCGTACCCAAGCGTTGTTACGGTAATCACAGACAGATACAAACAATCCAAATAGTTAAATTCTGTAAGTCTATGAAACTCCAACATGCCTACAACTACACATAAAATAGGTGCAAATAGTGGCATAAGCAATTCTAACAAGCCAACATAACTGTTAAACCTATGCTCACTAATGCACCAATGAACTAACCTAAGTTCCAAATATTTGATAAAACAATCACATAAAGTCATAAAAAATAAATCCCCCACGTAGCTCAACACTCCACTAAGAAAAAAACTCAACAATGACGTTAGAACTTTACCCCAAACACTATTGGGTACAATGTCCCCGTATCCCACAGTTGACGTCATTTGTGCTGTGAGGGAAAGTGAAAAGGCAAATCGTGATAACCTTCTTTGATCATATATGTCTATGAAACTATGTTGGAAATAACTTAATAAACAAAAAATCATACCCAGCATCAATGGCCACATGCTAATCCTAATAACCACTTGAAGACGAGTTGGAGGTGCAGGCCCTGGAATATCTTGTGGAAGAAGAGTTGCATCTTGTGCTACATCTTGTTGAAGACAAGGTTATGACCAAACACCATGGCTTAATCATACTTTAGCTAGAATCAATCCGTTAATCTAATTGAACTTGGGAACTTGGGAACTTAATCATGTGGAAGAAGAGTTGCATCTTGTGCTACATCTTGTTGAAGAAGAGCTGCAGCTTGTATGTGCTCACGTGCAGCTTGTATGTGCTCATGTGCAGCTTGTAAGTGCCGAAGTGCAGCTTGTATGTGATCAGGGGCAGGTGTTGAGTGGGGCAGGAGGTCACCTCCAACTCCGCTTCCAAGTGTTGAGGGGCCCAACAGGGGCATGTGAAGGTTGACTCCACTTCCACCTCCACTGCTTTCATCACCAATGTCTTCTCTGATTTCCATAGTTCCTAGCATTATTGAAATTGTAAACAGAGAGACAAGAAAAATTAGATAACCAGAGGATATCATGCAAATATGCAGGTAATTCATCAATTTTATACAGATTTTATAACAAAACAATAATAGGAAACACAAACCAATGATGCAAACAGATTTGACAAAAATCCTAGAGAAACTGATAGAACCAGCAACAAGAGTAACTTTTGAAACCAAATACTGCAGACAGATTGACAAAAATCCTAAAGAAACTGATAAACCCAGGCAACAAGATTCAACTTTGGTAGCAAATCACAAATTTAAAGTTAAAACTTGAAAAAGAACAGATCCCCAAACAGAATGACAAAGCTAAAACGACCATAAACTTCATAAAGAACAAAGCACCAATAACAAATGCTGCACATAATTCACCAAATATATTGTTCTAGCTATAAGAACGCAAAAACCGCAGCCAATTTCTCAAATTTAAAACCATTTTACAACAAGATTAGGAAATACAAATCCTCAAAAAACTGATTAACCCAGCAACAAGATTAAATTTTGAAACCAAATGAAAAACCATAACTTGAAGGGAAAAAAACAGAGTCGGAATATTGGCAAATTTCCACATAGTTCCTAGCATGATTGAAATTGTAAACACATAGAGACAAGAAAATTAGATAACAGGAGGATATTAGAAAGCAAAAATGCAGGCACTTCATCAATTTTATAACAATACAATATTAGGAAACACAAATCAATGATGCAGGCAGATTGACAAAAATCCTAGAGAAACTGATAGACCCAGCAACAAGATTAACTTTTGAAACCAAATAATGCAGACAGATTGACAAAAATCTTAAAGAAACTGATAAACCCAGGCAACAAAATTCAATTTTGTTACCAAATGACAAATTTAAAGTAAAAACTTGAAAAAGAACAGATCCCCCCCAAACAAAATAACAAAGCTAAACAATTTTGGTACCAAATGACAAATTTAAAGTTAAAACTTGAAAAAGAATAGATCCCCAAACAGAATGACAAAGCTAAAACGACCATAAACTTCATAAAGAACAAAGCACCAATAACAAATGCTGCAGATAATTCACCAAATTTATTGTTCTAGCTATAAGAACGCAAAAACCGCAGCCAATTTCTCAAATTTAAATTACAAGAAGATTAGGAAATACAAACCCTCAAGAAACTGATTAACCCAGCAAGAAGATTAATTTTTGAAACCAAATGCAAAACCATAAATTTGAAGGAAAAAAAAAGAGTTGGAATATTGGCAAATTTCCACATTTCCACATTTTCAAGAATGCAGGCAGATTGACAAAAATCCTCAGGAAACTGATAAAACCAGGCAACAAGATTCAACTTTGGTAGCAAATGACAAATTTAAAGTTAAAACTTGAAAAAGAACAAATCCCCAAACAGAATGACAAAGCTAAACCAACCACAAACTTCATAAAGGACAAAGCCCCAATAACAAATGATGCAGATAATCCACCAAATTTATTGTTCTAGCTATAAGAATGCAAAGAAAAAAAAACAGCCAATTTCTCAAATTTAAACCCATTTTACAACAAGATTACGAAATACAAATCCTCAAGAAACTGATTAACCCAGCAACAAGATTAATTTTTGAAACCAAATGAAAAACCATAAACTTGAAAAGAAAAAAAAAGAGTCGGAATATTTGTAAAGTACTGTGATGGGTCGATTTCCAAATTTCCACATTGTCAAGAATGCAGGCAGATTGACAAAAATCCTCAGGAAACTGATAAAACCAGGCAACAAGATTCAACTTTGGTAGCAAATGACAAATTTAAAGTTAAAACTTGAAAAAGAATAGATCCCCAAACAGAATGACAAAGCTAAAACGACCATAAACTTCATAAAGAACAAAGCACCAATAACAAATGCTGCAGATAATTCACCAAATTTATTGTTCTAGCTATAAGAACGCAAAAACCGCAGCCAATTTCTCAAATTTAAATTACAAGAAGATTAGGAAATACAAACCCTCAAGAAACTGATTAACCCAGCAACAAGATTAATTTTTGAAACCAAATGAAAAACCATAAACTTGAAGGGAAAAAACAAAGAGTTGGAATATTGGCAAATTTCCAAATTTCCACATTTTCAAGAATGCAGGCAGATAGACAAAAATCCTCGAGAAACTCATACATCCAGAAACAAAATTCATTTTTGGAACCAAATGACAAAGTTAAAACAAACAAAAACTTGAAAAAGAACAGAGCCCAATGACAAACGATGCAGACAATTCATCAAATCTACTGTTGTGGGTATTAGAACGCAAAAAGGCGGATAGTTCATCATAGTTCCTAGCATTATTGAAATCGTAAACACATAGAGACGAGAAAATTAGATAACAGGAGGATATTAGAAGGAAAAAATGCAGGCACTTCATCAATTTTATAACAAAACAATATTAGGAAACACAAATCAATGATGCAGGCAGATTGACAAAAATCCTAGAGAAACTGATAGACCCAGCAACAAGATTAACTTTTGAAACCAAATAATGCAGACAGATTGACAAAAATCCTAAAGAAACTGATAAACCCAGGCAACACGATTTGATTTTGTTACCAAATGACAAATTTAAAGTAAAAACTTGAAAAAGAACAGATCCCCAAACAGAATGACAAAGTTAAAACGAACATAAACGTCATAAAGAACAAAGCCCCAATAACAAATGCTGCAGATAATTCACCAAATTTAGCGTTCAATAAGAACGCAAAAACCGCAGCCATTTTCTCAAATTTAAACCCATTTTACATTTTACAACAAGATTAGGAAATACAAGAAACGGATTAACCCAGCAACAAGATTAATTTTTGAAACCAAATGAAAAGCCATAAACTTGAAAAGCAGAAAAAAAAAAAAAAAACAGAGTAGGAATATTGGTAAAGTACTGTGATGGGTCCATTTCCAAATTTCCACATTGTCAAGAATGCAGGCTGACTGCCAAAAATCCTCAAGAAACTCATAAACCTGTAAACAAGATTCATATTTGGAACCAAATGACAAAGTTAAAATGAACATAAACTTGAAAAAAGAACAGAGCCCAAAGACAGACAATGCAGATAAGTCATCAAATCTACTGTTGTGGGTATTAGAACACAAAAAGGCAGATAGTTCATCATAGTTACTAGCATTATTGAAATTGGAAACACAAAGAGACAAGAAAAATTCGATAACAGGAGGATATTAGAAAGCAAAAAAGCAGGTAATTCATTAATTTTATACTGATTTTATAACAAAACAATGTTAGGAAACACAAACCAATGATGCAGACAGATTGCAAAAATCCTAGAGAAACTGATAGACCCAGCAACAACATTAATTTTTTAAACCAAATAATACAGATTGACAAAAGTCCTCAGGAAACTGATAAACCCAGGCAACAAGATTCAATTTTGGTACCAAATGACAAATTTAAAGTTAAAACTTGAAAAAGAACAAATCCCCAAACAGAATGACAAAGCTAAACCAACCACAAACTTCATAAAGGACAAAGCCCCAATAACAAATGATGCAGATAATTCACCAACTTTTATGTTCTTCTAGCTATAAGAATGCAAAAAAAAAAAAACAGCAGCCAATTTCTCAAATTTAAACCCATTTCACAACAAGATTAGGAAATACAAATCCTCAAGAAACTGATTACCCCAGCAATAATATAATTTTTGAAACCAAATGAAAAACCATAAACTATAAGAGAAAAAAACAGAGTCGGAATATAGGTAAAGTACAGTGATGGGTCCATTTCCAAATTTCCACATTTTCAAGAATGCAGGCAGATTGGCAAAAATCCTCAAGAAACTGATAAACCCAGAAACAAGATTCGTTTTTGGAACCAAATGACAAAGTTAAGACAAACATAAACTTGAAAAAGAACAGAACCCAATGACAAAAGATGCAGATAATTCATCAAATCTACTGTTGTTGGTATTAGAACGCAAAAAGGCAGACAGTTCATTTAAAAAAAATTTCAGGGCCTAAACCCTAAACTTACAGATTAACAGAGTGGGTTGAAACGAAGAGTGGCTAGGAGGAGATAGCTGCCGAAGAGTGGCAAGGAGGAGATAGCTGCCGAAGAGTGCCAATGAGGAGATAGCCGCCGAACAGTGTGAGCAGACCCAATGAGTAATGCAACGAGTAATGCTCTTTTATGAAGGGTAAGGGGTGTCATTTTGATTTGGGAAAAGTAAGGAGTTGTTACAAGAAAGATAAAAAGTTGATTAAAACAAAGGTAAATCATTTTTCAAAAACCCTTTGATAATCAAGGCATTGGCACCAACACTATTATAGGCCAAAAAAAATATAGAAAAAAAATTTTTAAATTTTTTTTTTCAATCACAGCAATCCTAAATGACACCCCAAAACAATCACGATAAATTACGAAAAATAGTTGGCTTTAAAAATATATATATATATATATATATATATATATATATATATATATATATATATATATATATATATATATATATATATATATATATATATATATATATATATATATATATATATATATATATATATATATATATATATATATATATATATATATATATATATATATATATATATATATATATATATATATATATATATATATATATATATATATATATATATATATATATATATATATATATATATATATATATATATATATATATATATATATATATATATATATATATATATATATATATATATATATATATATATATACATTAGATTTTATTGAGCATAAGAACAAACCAGGAGAATTGGGCATTTTGGGTAAATTCGGGTTTTGGACATTGGGGTTTCTGGGTGAGTTTAGTGTTTTTGTAGAATGTGGCTACGGGTTTTTGGGTAGGTTTTGGGCCTTATTTACGGTTGAGGGATTGGGTTGGATGGGTTTGGTGTTTTTTCACAATGTGGGTGTTGGGAGGGATTACAGTCGAGAGATTGGGGTGGGTGCCGGCCTTTGGGTGGCAATGTGCAGTAAGAGGCCGTCCCTGAGATTTTGAGGGCCCTGTGCGAAACTTAATTGGGGCATCACATAATCTAATACGAAAATGCTACAAATAAAAATTTGCCATAACTTAATGTCATAAACAATTTTTTTATAGCAAAAATTGTCAAGGGATTGAAAAAAGAACCAAAGAGAGATTGATGAATGATGATGATTACTTACCAGAAAATCAAAGTTTAAGAGAAAGAAGAAGCCAT